TTTCTGTGTCTGTGGATTTGCCTGTTCAGGACATGAAGTGATACATATATTTTTAAACACGGTCCTCGCTGTACAGGTGCTTCCTCTTAGCTCATCACCCTTGTCTGGGCCCTGGGTACGCCCTGCGTGCATATTTTAACCCTTCCCAGGGGCAGCTAATCCATTATGGGCTCTCCAAAGTCACAGAGTTCAGGAATAAGCCGCTGAGTGGTCGCCCTCGCTTCCCTGGAAACAAGCTCAGAGAGGCTGTGGTTTGTCCTGGTCGTTGCTCTCCTCAAGGACACGGTTGGGTGGCTTTGTGGAAGGCCAGGGTGGCAGGACACGGGAGCTCAGGGAGAGTGGGAGGCACAGCCCGAACCTCGGATCTGGAACCATTGTGGAACAAGCGAATCTTTGCCTTTGGTCTTTTATACGATAATCTCTGTGCTTCCGCATCCGGAAGACAGAAATGATGGTATCCAGCCAGTAGAACAGTTGTGTGGACTCAGTGATTGGGCACAGGGAGACCCACTTCCCGAACCTCCCCTTTATCGCCCCTTTATCCAAGGGAAGAAATGTGGGAGGTTCTGCCTGAAAATCTCTTAGGACTCAACATGTGGTTCCCAGCCTGGCAGCGCCCCCGCCCCTGCCCCAAGGCTGAGTGGGCAGAAGAGCACTGAGCACAGGACTGAGATTAGCCTTGGAGGGGCGGTCGAGGGATGGTGCGGTGTGGAAGGCCGGTGAGGCCTGGTTCCAGACTCTGCCTCAGGCCCTGGGTTCAAATCCTGCCCCTTCCACTTTCTGGCTGTGTTTGCCTTGGGTGGGCCACAGCCCCTCTCTGAGCCTTAGTTTCCTCGCCTGTGGAGTGAGGGGCTATTTCCTCCTTAAGGTTTTGATGACAACGATTAATAAGTAACTGAGTATTAACAACAGGCCGGCACTTTACATCAATTACCTCATTTTATCCGGACAACCACCTTCCCCATCCTTGTACAGATGAGGAAGCTGACGCACAGGGAAGTGAAAGCATGTTCCCAAGGTCACAGATCCAGAAAGTGTGGAGCTGGGGACCACATTCTGCTCCTAACTCTCCCACGAGCCCCTAGGGGTGCCTCACGGCCTCCACCAGCCTTGCGTGAAGCTCCTCCTGGGAGCGCCTTCACTTCTTGTGTTAAATTGTGACAGAACACACATAACGTGAAATTTACTGTCTTAACCACTTTTTGGTGCATCCTTCAGTGGCATTAAGCACAATCACATTGTTGTACAACCATCACCACCATCCATCTCCAGAACTTGTCCGCCTTTCCAAAGTGAAAGTCTGTCCCCGTTAAACACTGACCCCCCCATTCCCCTCCCCCAGCCCCTGGCAACCACTACTTTCTGTCTCTGAATTTGACTCCTCTAGGGGCCTCGTGTAAATGGAATCATACAGTTTTTTGTCTTTTTGTGACTGGCTTGTTTTGCTGAGCATAACGTACTCAAGATCCATCCGTGTGGTAGCATATGTCAGGATTTCCTTCCTTTTTAAGGCTGAACGATGCTCCTTTGTATGGATGAGACCCCATTTTGTTTGTCCGTTATGTCTTCATTCTTTCCACCCTCATCTGTAAGCCCAGCCTCCCTTGAGAGGCAGCAGAGGTGCTGGGGGTGGGGTGGCTAGTCTCCTTCCTTTGCAGGGGGATCCTCAGTTTGGGAGGGGGGCTGCCATCCCTAGCACCCCTGCCTCGGCGAAACCTGGGGTGCCATCTTGACAGGTCCCAACCTGGGTAAGCAGATGTAGCAAAAAACGTAGGATGCCCAGTTAAATTTGCATTTCAGATCACCAGTCTGATCGTTTCTAGTGTAAGTATGTCCCATGCAGTGTCCCTAAAAAATTATTAGTTCATGTGAAACTCAGATGTAACTGGGCAGCCTGTGTTTTATCTGATAACCCCATACCCAACCCACAAGTAGAAGGGGCAGTAAGCCGGGGGTGAATTTTGGGGGTGAGAGTCCCTACAGTGGCAGCCCATTCCCGGCTTGAGGGGACCAGCGGGAGGCCACTGTCCAGGCGGCAGTCTGGTTTTCTTAAAGGGCCTGCTTCCCATAGGCCACTCCATGTCCAGGCAGGCGAGGAGCCACTGGATTATATAGAGTCTAGTCCCAGGATCCTTCCATAACCCCAGAATGATGCAAGTCTTGTGGTCTCTGCCCAGTGTCAGCCACACTGAGATACTGCGTGGCATAGAATCAGCTATTGCCTTTTCCTGTCCTCCACTTACAGCTAGGTTGGCTGACTCTGGGCAGGGGTACAGTGGGTGCTGTGGGGCACGCAGGCTCACAGCCTCCTAGGGGAGAGGTGCCCACTGCCCAGCACAGGCCCCTGTGACCTGAGGCAGGAAAGCCCTCGGTCAGGGCGGGAGTGGGAGGAGGGAAGTGGGTGCTCTGTATTTCCCTCTGCTGATGTAGCTTCCGGCGTTGATGGCAGTGGGCCTCCTCCCTGCCTTAGCTGCCTCACCCAGTAGCCCCCAACCACAGCTTGGGGGTACAGAAGTCTGACCCCTTGCCTCAGGTGGGACACATTCCACGGTGCTTCCCATGTGATCAGGCTGAAGTGTGTGTCCAGCTGAGACCACCACCTCCTGCCTCCTCACCCCCTTCCCCAACAAATCACATTCACAGGGATGCCAGTTTCAGGCTGTGCTCCTAGAGAATACCTGGGTCGTGGGTCACTTTCTAAATGGACAGGCTGCTTTCTGCTGGAGCAGAAGGCTCTCAGGTTCTTTGTCCCGGCCAATCCCAGGCCATTGGCACATCCTCCTCCCAGGGCTGGGCACTTGTCATGTGGAGAATGAGGTGTCTAGAACTGGAAGCCCATTCCCCCGTGGAGCTTGTCATCTGGTTGAGCAGGGAGGATGCGTTCTGAAAAGGTGGAAGGACCCAGGCACTCTCCTGAGTCCACACGGAGTGTCGGACACGGGCCCCGACGCAGTGGGTCCTGGTTGGGGAGCATTGTGGGCTGGAGTGCTCCCAGCTGTTCCTGAGGAGGAGGCGTGATCTGGGCTGGATTGGGCGGGATTTGAATGGTAGGGGTGGGGATTTTGAGTAAGGACAGGCGGTGTGGGTGAGGTCTCAGAGACAAAAAGGTCCATGAGTGGTCAGGACTGGTTCTGACTTTGGGGTTGGGGGTGATGGGAGTGGAGAATGGTGACAGATCAATGACTGAGATCATTTGGGAGGGTGTATTTGGATGCCACACTTAATTTGGATTTTACCTCCAGTGCAGGGCATGTAAGTGAGGATGGCCCAGGTGAGAGACAGTAGGGAGTAGCGGAGCCACCTGGATGCGCTGCGCCTATCTAGAGGAAGCAGCTGCTGTAGGACTCCGGTCCATTTTGCCATCTCTTGTGAGTTGGCATATCTTGTGATTTTTTTAGGAGCATCAAGAGGCCTGAATATTTATGTGAAATCTCTTGATTGTGAAATGTTGGCAATTAATTCCAGTGTGTTATAAAAAGGCTGTGTGGGACCAATAAAACCTGTACGTTGGCAAGTTTCAGCCTCCGAACCTCTGGTATGCAGCCTCTGCTCCAGGGAGTTGGAAGGAAGAGCGATGGGACAGACTCCCCCCACTCCGCACCCCCACATTCCACCCAAAGGCCCTTACCAGGTGGAGTGTCCCCTCCTTGGTGCCTTCTGAGGCCTCCTAATAACTCTAATAACACGAAGGACAGATGCAGGTGGGGGCTTACTTTGTGTTGGGCACCATACTGAGGGATTTAATTCTCACAGCCACCTATGGGATGAGGAGTTTTAGACTCCTTCTGTTATACATGAGGAAACAGAGGGACAGAGAGGTCCAGAAACTTGCCTAAAGTCACACAGCCTATAAGTAGAGCAAAACTATGAGCCCAGTTTTGCTGATTTTTTTCCTTTTTATTTTATTATGTTAAGATATAGATGGATAAGATAAAATTTGCCACTTTTAAGAGCACAGTTCAGTGGCATTAATTACATTCACAATGTTATGCAGCCATCACCTCTATCTAGTTTCAAAACTTTTCCATCACCTCAAACAGAAACTCGGTTTCCACTAAACAACTCCCCATTTCTCCCTACCCCCAGCCCCCGACACTCACCATTCTACTTTCTCTCTTTATGAATTTAACTATTCTAGACACCTCATATAAATGGAATCATACAGTACTTGCCCTTTTGTGACTGGCTTATTTCCCTTAGCATAATGTCCTCCAGGTTCATCCATGTTGTAGCATGTGCCAGAATATCCTCCCTTTTTAGGGCTGAGTAAGATTCCATTGTGTGGACGGACCCCATTTGGTTAATCCATTTATGCGTCGATGGACACTTGGGTTGTTTCCACCTGTTGGCTATTGTGAATAAGGCTGCTACGAACACAGGTGTACAAATATCTCTTCAAGTATCTGCTTTTGATTCTTTTGGGGCTATCAGGTCTGCCAATTTCAATTCCTTAAGGTCCCCCAAGCACGTAAGGTCCCCATGCAGTTGAAGTGTCCCCACTGAGTGCTCTTCCAAACGCTTTTTTGATTACCTCCAGCAGTGGGGAACTTACCACCTCCAGAGACAGCCTCTTCAGTACCCAGTGTGTAGCCCAGCTCTGTGTCCCTGTAGCTGCCATGCACCCAGGATGTGCTCCTTTTTTCTTCTTCACTGCATCCCTCCTTGGTCTTCTCTGGGTTGGCCTTCTGCGCATGTGCAGGGGAAGCTCTCCAATTCACTCTTGACTCTAACTATACATCACAGACTCCTAGGCCTCCCTTCCCTCTCCCCAACTTCTAAGAGAGGGAACGATATTCAACCGTGGGAAGCAGGAGGGACGTGTCTTTAAAAACCACCACCGGTGACAAAAACCATACAAACACTCCATGGTAGATCTGCCTCACTGTTAACCTCACCGAGTTGCCCCAAGACAGAGAGGACTGTGGAGGTTCCGTCCGCCGTGTCAAGTGCCACTCCCGTCACCCTCCCGGGAGCTCACCCTCTCTCCTTTGTCTCCGCAGGGACCTACCAGGGCCAGTGGGTTGGTGGCATGCGCCAAGGCTATGGTGTGCGACAGAGTGTCCCCTACGGCATGGCGGCAGTCATCCGCTCGCCCTTGAGGACATCCATCAACTCCCTGCGCAGTGAGCACACCAATGGCACGGCCCTGCACCCCGACGCCTCCCCGGCGGTGGCCGGCTCCCCGGCCGTGTCCCGGGGGGGCTTCGTGCTCGTGGCCCACAGCGACTCTGAGATCCTCAAGGGCAAGAAGAAGGGGCTGTTCCGGCGCTCCCTGCTGAGCGGGCTGAAGCTGCGCAAGTCCGAGTCCAAGAGCAGCCTGGCCAGCCAGCGCAGCAAGCAGAGCTCCTTCCGCAGCGAGGCCGGCATGAGCACGGTCAGCTCCACGGCCAGCGACATCCACTCCACCATCAGCCTGGGCGAGGGCGAGGCCGAGCTGTCGGTCATCGAGGACGACATCGACGCCACCACCACCGAGACCTACGTGGGCGAGTGGAAGAACGACAAGCGCGCAGGCTTCGGCGTGAGCCAGCGCTCGGACGGGCTCAAGTACGAGGGCGAGTGGGCCAGCAACCGGCGGCATGGCTACGGCTGCATGACCTTTCCCGACGGGACCAAGGAGGAGGGCAAATACAAGCAGAACATCCTAGTGAGCGGCAAGCGCAAGAACCTCATCCCGCTGCGCGCCAGCAAGATCCGCGAGAAGGTGGACCGGGCTGTGGAGGCGGCCGAGCGGGCGGCCACCGTTGCCAAGCAGAAGGCGGAGATCGCGGCCTCCAGGTAGGAGGGTGAAGGGTGGGGCAGGGGAGGGGCAGGGCGGCTTCTGGGTGGCGGAGCCAGGCCTGATCTGGTCAATGCGATCCAGCTGGAGGCCTACACTGGCGTTTCTCAAACTGTGCCCCGTGGAACCCTGGGGTTCCTCAGGAGGTCTCAGAGGTGGGGCAAGGAAATGGTCGATCTGGCTGCTACAGCCTCTCCTCAAACAGAGCAGTATCTCTTTTGTCTGTTTTTTTATGCTGTGTTTCACATAAAATATTGACAGATAAAGACAGTGGGCTGTTTTGCTGGTAAAATGCTTTGGACAGCTGCCCGCTTAAGACAAAGGTGTGATGCCACTGAGGCGACACTCCCAGGTGGGCATGGAGTGAGCGCCCGGCATTGCTGGGATGTGGGAGGAGGGTGTAAGCTTCCCTGGCCACACCAGCCTGCAGCCCAGATTGTCCATAGGCCTGGGAGATGGCACCAACCTGACAGATCAGCTGTGGGCACTGGGCAAGGGTTTGTGCAAGACATCGTGCTGTGGGTCAACAGCTGTTCTGAATGGATGCAGGACTTCCTGGGTTTAGGGTCAGCAGGGCTACTGGGCCCTAAGCAGCGGGTCCAGAGTTGACTGTTGGTGGGTGCCATGTTGGATTTCAAGGTATCTTTAGTGTTGGTGCTGGGATGAGGGCTTCGGAGCTGCAAGAGGGGGACCCAGGGTCTGGATTCCTGGAAACTGCGGAGGTAAGTGCCTGAGCCTGGATCTGGTCCGGGCTAGGCTGTGGGAGGCTGCGGACAGCCAGAACATGGCAGGCGCCTGCCGCAGGTTGAAGGAAGTTGCCATGTTAAAAGCCTAGTGCCCCCTAAGCGGCCATGCTCCTGGGTTCTAACTGGGAGCTTCCGCCATCTGTCTGCTTTTGCGGGTCACAGTAAGGCCCTCAGGGTCTTCCCTGAGAGCCTTGGGGCTTGGGACAGGGGTCTGGGGACTGCTTTAGGTCCTTCAGGCTGCCCAGGCAGGAGACATCCAGGATGACAGGCCCTAGCATCTTTCTGGATGATTCTGTATTCCCAGCCAGGGGCAGGCCTGGAGTTATTCCAGGAAAACTCCCAGCTCAGTTATGCTCAGGCCTTTTCAACCTTGTCACTTAATTAAAATTTTAGCCCATTTGGTTCTGGGTTTCCATGACCTTTGAGCCACAGTGAAAGAATAAAAATGGTGGCTGTAGTTTGTTGGCAGAATATCTGCCACTCACAGCATCTGAGGTTTTAGAGGGAAGCGAAATCCATTCCAAGAAGCCGAAAGAAAAATGGCATTACTATACCTGAACACCGAGGTCCAAAATTGCTCTGTCCGCCCCCTCTCTACTCCCCCAGAAATGTTCAGGCACCGAAATAAACACGAGCCACATTTATGACTACTCACCTAGTATTTTCAGATCAAATTAGGTTCAATAGTTATTTTTTCCATTATAAATGTAATACTTGCTCCATATAGAAAAATTGGAAAATAGAATGTAAACGGAGAAAAGCGACATTAGGTCTGGTCTAATATGTCACCAGAGACTCTTGCTGGCATCTTGGCATATTCCCTTCCATTCAATGTTTGCTTTTTTTTTTTAATATACCTTTTGTATTATGTTTGGTCGTTTGGCTGGCTTCAGTGGACAAGAAGCAGTTACAGGGTAGGGCATGGCATTATCAAAGATTTGGGGTGCTCATGGCAGCTTCCATCTGGCCTATAGGTTGTTCTCGGCCAAGGGTCTGGGAGGCAAAAGCACAAGGATTCAGTGGACAACCTTCCACGAAACTGACTTTATTTTAGAGTCCAATGACCAGGTGAACTTTTTAGGACTGAGGAGTTTTCTGACAAATCCCACAGAAATTTGGGGCGGGGGGACGGCGCGCTGATTCCCATTAAGGAGCCAAAGCCGTGGTGTGGGCAAAGCTCAGAGTCAGCACACCCAGGGAGCGCCACCCAGGAGCCTTAGCCTCCTCATCTGTGACAGGAATAATGGTGCTCACCTGCTGTGAAGGCCTGACAACTGGAGTGATGACAGTTCCATCCTGTGCCTGGGGCCTTCCCGCCCCTCTGGGTAGGGAGGGGAGTGTGGGGCCTTTTATGAGAAGCAGGGACTGGGAGAGGGCCTGGAGTGCAAGAGGGGTGTAAAGAAGTTGGGGCAGCCTAGGACCTGTGGGGTATTGGCCAGCCAGGTTCGGTGCACCCTGGTGAGGCCTCTGCCAGTGTGTTACTTAATGGAGGGAGGACCATGGGAAGGAGGGCAGAGGGATTGATCAGTGTGCAACCGAGAGGATTGTCCCATCACAGGTGTGACAGGCACCTGGGCAGGTGCTCAGGGAGGGGTAAAGTGGGTTCCTGGTTACATATGCCTGCTACGTTTGGGGTTTTGGAGTCCAGCCCCTTTGTGAGAATGGGGCTGGCTGACCAAAGTGTCCCACTCTGTACACGCATACATTTACACATACCCCACACACAACTCACTCACATGTGCACGTGCACTCATAACACACACGCACCACTCATTCATACTCACATACACACGCATTCAGACACACACAGGGACTTGGGTGCTGTGGGAGGGGCGATGCATAGCCTGGACCTGTGCAGTGCCAGGGGTGGGGTATGTAACCCGCTTGTCGCCTCCATCTCTTCCTAGGTGGGTCTCCTAGGTCATGGATGTTCAAAATCACAGAGCCTGGCATTTAAAATGTGTCTGAGAGGAGGGCAGACCTTAGGCAGCATCTGGAACCGCTTCTCAGAGCCTAGGCTCACTGAACCTGCAAACCCTTGTCCAGCCTGGGCCAATCACTGCTGAGTTACCCGGGGAAGGTGCTTACCCTCTCTGGGCCAGGTTTCCCATAGAAGGATGGGATGGAACAACACATGGAGCCTTCAGCTTGTGTGGGGCCCAGTGTGCTCCGTTGTCCCCCTCCCAATCTCCCCTGAGCCATGCTGGCTCTCCCTCACCCTTCAGCTCCCACCAGCCTTGTGGGGAGGTAGGCGTGTCTGCACATCCATGGGTGTGACCTAGCCATGCTGGCTTCCTGGTGCCCGGGGTCACCCCTTGGAGGAGGGAGGTGACAGTGTCCTCAGTTACCACCATGGGGATGAGGATGAGCCTCATTCGAGGTTACAGGTGGAGCTGCCTGTCCTGCATTTTCTTAATGGGCTTAGATTTGGGGAAAAAAAAAAAAAAAAAGAGGAGTGAACAGAGGCCATGTCCTCAAGAGTGAAGCCAGCGGATGGATGGCTGAGTCAGCTCCCCCAAAGCCCTGAGGCTTACTCTCCACTGGCGCATGAAAGTGGCCACGGCAGCCTCGTGGACTCCGGTCACTGTCACAGCCAAGAGATGGCCAGGCAGTGAGGGAGCTATGGCCGTCCCGGTACAGGTTACTGAGCTGAGTCAGATACAAACAGTTGGGTGTGTCCTCACCAGAGCGCCCAGGGCCTTCCCCAAGAGTAGCTGCTGTGAGGAGGGGAACACAGGCTTTCCTGGAAAATGGGGGCGGGGGGGGGGTCACACCAAGTTTGAGTTCTGAGAGGTGGTCCCATTCTCTCCACTTCACAGAGTGGACTGAGGCCCATGGCAGCTAAGGGCAGGGACTGGCCACACAGCTCAGGGGGAGCTGGGATTCGTCTTGGGACAGGGCCTGCAGCAGGTTCCCAGCTCCCTGCCCCACCCTACTTGTGTGCACTGGAATTGCCTGGGGTGCTCTTCTTATGCTGGCCACCTGGAGATGCTGAGTTCCTTCCTGGGAAGCCACCTGGGCTGCAGAGCCCTTCAAATCTTTCCAGGTGATTCTCAGGTGCCCTCAACACCCTCCTCTGGTATATAAAATGCAGATGACTGGGCCCCACACCCAGAGCTTCTGATTCAACAGGGCTGGGTGGGACCTGAGAACTTGCATTCCTGGGGAGACCCCAGGATGCTGGCATTGCTGGCATGGGAACCACCACTCTACTCTCTCATAGGAGGCCACAGGGGAGTGGAGATGCCCACAGATGTACCTGAGGCAAAGGCAGAAGGTGGAGTGTGCCCTGACAGGGTCTTCAGTGGGAGGCGAGGGTGAGGGGAAGGTGTGCCAGTCGGGTCAATCTGGACAAGACAAGATCAGAGCAGAAGGCACTGCCATCCTTCACCTGTGACTTCCTCTGCAGGGTCTTCTTCACCCCATTATGAACTCCCCTTAGTGATGGGCTGTGACAGACTCCATCCTGTCCTATCACCCAACAGTCATTAGTCCCAGACAAGTGGGAAAATTGATGGCTCTCTCAGTGAACCTGCTTTAAGCAGATTGTATTCCGTGGACCACAGTATAGACCCCTCCTGCCTTCACACACTTGGGACACTTTTATGAAGTGTCCTCTACCTGGATAGCAAATATGTCACCTCCTCACCTGCTGCTCCTTTATCACCCCTCAACATGTCTGTGGCAGACATAACTAGTCAATCACAGTGCTCCTAGCTGCTGGCCTGGAAAATGAAACCCAATGACCATTGTCTGCTACTCACCAGAGGGCTTAGTCTTTCCAAGGACCAGCCTACAGCCTGGTTGAGAATCAAAATATAAACCTGTCACCTACTAGAGATGAAAGAAGGCAACACACTTTAACTTTCAGTTACAGAGCCCTTAGTCACATGACTCACAGCTCCCCAGGTATAAACCAGATAAAGGCACTGGTGGGAGCTGAAGTGGGGGTGGGACGGGGCAGATTGTGGCCCGTTTGCCCCTTCCTGTCTTCCCTTAAAGGGTGGCCCTGGGACACTTTAGCAGCATCCTGGGTTGACAGTGCTGGGATCAGCTAGCTATGTCTGCCTAGGGGGAGGGATAGGAGGGTTCTGAACGGTATGAAACCCAGGACTGATTGGACCCTACAGACCCTGTGAAAGTCACATGGGAGTCTGGGGTGTTCCTTTTGTTGGGAACCCCTCTCTCTGCCTCCTCTGCGATTTATCTCAAATAAGCGTCTAAAGTAAAGAGATGTCAAAGGGTTTTGTAAA